AGTTGTCCAGGAACAGGATTGGGCACCCCTGCTGAAGGGTGTCCCTTTTATCCTTTCAGGTTCCAGAAGAGTGCTCACATGTGCCCTTTTGCTGAGCCTCACGGCATTTATCACTATAGCGTGGTCTTGGTTGGAGGAGGACTAAAACACAACCTCCTTTGGCTGTATTCATATACTATTGAGTAGTATGCAATTTTTTGTATGCCAACTACTGAAGATCTACAGCATGCATTTCCTAAAATGTGCAGTATACAAAGCAACAAAGCACACGGCACAGAATACTGTACTCCACTTGACCTTGCATTTCCAATGTGAGGAATGAATGAAGAAAATGACATCTTGAGGCAATCGACATGAAACTTAGGCTGCGTCCAAAATCGCATACTCTCTTAGTAGGTACTTATTTTGATTAAGTGATTACTTTGTATAATTGATATTGTATTGCTAATGTTTTTTTTCCTTTTTTTATACCCCTGTGAAGCATTTTGAGTTGTAGTTCATGTATGCAAAGTGCTATACAAATAGATGTTTATTATTATTATTACGCTGTGATAATTAAAAAGTATGTTCTTTAAAGTATGAATGTGTGTAGTAGTGCGTACTACATTCCTCATGTTGTCATCGTCATGTGACCCATCGATGTCAGTTATGGTGCTCCACTGCCTTTTCCAGCTCCTATCCCGTGGCCTCATGGGGAAGTAAGGTGTCCATCAGATGTGCACTTCAGAATCTTGCTGGAAATAGTAGGCCATCTGGTACTTTTTGCCTACATTTTCAAATTCGGACCTACTAGTCTGTTCACATACTGTTTTTTGCCTACTATATATATAGTATGCAATTCCGTATGCAGCCATAGTGGCATTACAAGACAACAATATATTTGTTATAGTGTACACTGTGCAGTATTGAGTAAGTAGCACCCCTTTATGAAACACAAGCAGAAGGAATTTGAGTAAATGAAAAATGACTTTTCAAATCTGACTTTCTTTAAATTTTATTTCTAAATGCAAATGATAAAAAAAAACAAAAACAGTATGCATTAAATAAATCAGTATTACTAAATGGTTCATATATCTAATGTACAGCCCAGAATCCTTTGAGACATCAGCTATAAAAAAAAGGAAAAAGCATGAAGTGGGAGGGTAAATGCAATACAGCCCACTTCAATGTTCAGTGTGTGCTTTAGTTGAACACAGAATGTTCAAACAGAATAAAGCCGGGCAGATACACGCATATACAAAGAAGAGATGGCGACCTGGAGACGGACATGTGCTCATTTCACACAAACATTCATTCTTACACATACAAACATACATACAATTTGTCCAATGCACAAAACATGGGGGGGGGGGGGGACAACACTAAAAATCCTGGGGATAA